TCAAATAGAAGGTTTTGCAGAGGCAAGAAACTGAATTCATAAGGTTCATTTTCCCCCTTCTGTCCTGCTTCAAAGGAAATTTACAAGCCGCCCTTATATACCAGTCAACAGACCTTTTAGTTTAAGATGGTCACAATAAACAAACAACAGCAAGCTAAAAAAGAACAAATCAAGAGCTGAGCTTGAAAACAACTCAAATCAACTCGAGTAGTAGTTGGACTCCCATAGGCTATTAGTGACAAAAAAATGTTGACATAATCCTAAACAATTATTGAGGCATAAGATAAAAGGTTAAAAAATCAAACAAACACTAATTGCCAGCCAGATATTGCCTACATTAATCACACTCCAAAACCAATAAAATATATAAATATACATATAGATATATATATAATGAGAGAAATATACCTCATCAAAGGGCTGAGAACCTGGCTTGGACTGAATCTCTTGTTGCAATTTCTGTGATAAGAAACAATTTACCCAACCGCATTAAAACACTAGTAGTTCACAAATTTTTAAAATGTTATATCCAGCAAGTGTTATTAAAATTTCATCATAGAAAGTAAATTTCCTCTCTTTTTTCTAACGTACAACTAACAGATTAAACCTACAAACAGTGATGCTGCAACATCACAAGAGCCACTTTAAAAAATATGGCGGCCTAAATTTTAGTCCTACTAGCATTTATGCTTGTGTGTGCAAACAAGTTAACACAAGAATCATCATAGAAAGTAAACAACCATTTATGTAACATGAATATTGCAGGCAGCAGCTGGCCTTATTACCTGGGCAAGAATGACAATCTCACCTCGAACAGCATACTCACACTCTATAATCTGAGAAAATGAGAGAGTTAGTAATCAGAAACTGAACCAACAACAGGGAGAACAGGAAACTCTAGAATGGTTCTCAAGTCAGAAACTTGATCCTTTTAATTGACTCCAAAGGTACGCTTCTTAAGCTCCAAAATCTCTATAACTAGAAAAGCTATTTATAATTTGAAAAATAAGTTAATTTATAGAAAAATAATAACCAAAAATGGGTTGATGCGTTTAAAAGCTTTGGATTAACAGCTTAAAAGAAAAATTAAACTAAATTAGATTCTATGATTAAATCAGAGATGTGATATTTGAATAGCAGAGAACCAATCAGAAATTAAATAGAAACACCGGGTACATGTAAGGGAAAACCCAAAAA